CCCAGCTCTGGGTTCCGCGGTCCGGAGCGGGCTGCCGGGCGCTTGAGCCCTGGCCCGACCCAGTGCGACGGGCAGGACTCCGCTGCCACCATCGCACGGGTCCACAGTTGCGGGCTTGTTCCCAGCCTTTCTGAGTCCCTCTGTCCCGCCTTAGCACAAGGTGGCTCTAGCCCGGACCTGAGTGCAGCGGAGTCCGGCTCCCCGAGCACCGAACCTTCCTTCTCCTGCAGCAGACTGCCTGGGACTTGGAATCGGGGTCCCACGCCTGGTGAGGGGTTCCAGGCAGGCAGGACAGTCGTACTGAGCCACTGAGCTAGTGCTGTGAGCCCAAGTGGTCGCCTTCCTCCCGCCCCCACAAGCGACTCGGCGCTTGTCCGGAAAAGAGCACAAGGGCCCCTTCTGCCCGGCGGGCCGGTGAAAGCCGAGGCTGCAGGTGAGAGAGCCCGGATGCGCGGCGGGAGCGGTTCCGACCCCTCACGGTGGGGCTGCAGCCCGCTGGGGGCCTGGAGGGGGCGCGGGCAGAGGCTGGAACCAGCTAGGAGAAGGAGAGGAAGAAAAAGGGCACTTATTGAGCGCCCATTGTTTGCAGGTCCGCGCCCCGCCCTTGCACAAATGGTCTCTCACATAAGGTTCAGCTGCTACTCGGTGAGATAGATGTTGTGTATTGTTATGCGTGCTGACACATAAGGAAACTGAGGCTCAGCAGGTCTGAAGGACCTGCCTCTCTTCCTGTTCGGGATGAGACAGGGGGGAGGAGGTAAAGAGAGAAAAGAGGGAGGGAAGAAGAAAAGAAGTGGGTAGTAGCCAAGGAGGGGTGTGCAAGGTAGGGCCACTGGGGCATCCAAGTGCGGGTCAGGAACTGAGGAGGTGGCTTCTCCTTGCTCCTCAATCTTAGAGCACGTCAACTCACAAGAAAGGAGGCCCAGAGTAGCGAGCAGAGGTGGGAAGCTCCCCAGTTCCAAAGCTTCTCTCCCTGAGGCCCCAGGATGTTGGACTACAGGCTCTCCAAGGCAGACAAGGAGTGCTTGAGATGCTGCTTATCTACCGGGGAATTCACCGTGGAGATCCCCGAGTCAGACCGCTGAAGAAGCTGGAGGAGATGTGGTCCCTCAGCATTTCCCCCAACTCACCTCCTCCCCACGACTGATGAGGCCACTGAGGACCACTGAGGGAGCACAGCTGTTGCCCCAGGTCTTAGAGCCAGGGAGTGGTTGAATCAGAAGTAGACTTGAGTAAGCCTTCCAAACATCCTTCACAGTGTCCACTCCCCTCCCCAGTTTGTGGCTCCTGTGTGAACATCTGGGGTTTTCCCCACCCTGGTGTGAGGTCAGGGTGACCATGTATGAGGCTGCCTTTAAAGTCTGTGTGGTTGGTGCTGGGGCCTGAGACATGCCAGCTGCCCCATAGCCTTTGGCCCAGATTGCAGCCTTGATCTTAGTCTCACTTGGGCAGGGGAGAACTTTCTGACCCAGGAAGGGAGAGCTTGCTCAAGGTCTTAAAGCTGGGGCTACCAGGATGGGGCACTGCCTCCAGCTTTCTTGATTCCCAAGCAGGGGCTTCTTATACTGCACTTGGGGCCATCCATGTAGAGTGGGGGTTATGAAAGAGCCCTGGGCATGTTCTGGGGTAGAGGGAGCCCAAGGTCTTGGTCTGGGCCCTGTAGCCTTGGTGGGGATTGTTTAACCCTTCCTGTGCCCGGCTCCCTGGAGTCAAGGGGAAACCACCTTGGAAAGCCCCTGGGAGGGAGAGGGGTAGTGGAGCCTGAAAGCTTGACTCTGGGGTTAGAGGGATTGGGGGATCCTGGAAGGTGACTAAAGGGCTTGGGATTCCCCCTCACCCCCACCTCCATCTGAGGATTCAGACCCTCATAATAATCCCAGATTCTAAACAAAGTTCCTCTTTGATGATATAATTTCACACCTGTGTTGTCATTTCATGGTATGGTAGAACTTAGCCCTGGAACATGAAGTGAGGCAGAGCAGGATTGGAGAGTTGCCTGGTACCTCCGGGATGCCTCACCTATAAAATGGGGTCAAGGCAGGCTGTGTGTTGCCTGCTCAGATAATGAGGCAGTTATATCAGCATACTGTTGAGTGCTAAGGAGTTTGTTGGATTTGCCAAGGATGGGCTTATTTACTACTTATTTATTTATCTTATTTGCAGTACTAGGGATTAAAGTGAAGGCCTTCACACTGAGTTACATCCTTAGCCTTTTGTGTGTGTGTGTGTGTGTGTGTGTGTGTGTGTGTGTGTGTGTGTGTGTGGTACTGGGGATCAAACTCAGGACCTTGCACTTGCCAGGTAGGTGCAGTGCCACTGAGTTACATCCCCTGCCCATCCTCAGCCTTTTAAATTTTTTTTTATGTTTTAGTTTGAGACAAGGTCTTGCTAAGATGTCCAGGGTGAACTCAAACTTACAATATACCTGTCTCAGCCTCCCAGAGTGCTGGGATTGTAGACATGAACCATTCACAGCCTGCTAGGGCTTGTATTAATGGCTACCTTGTATGGCAAACAGACTCAGAGAGGTGAAACTGCTTACCCACAACTTTTGAGTTTGCTTTAGGAGCTAATTGACTACCTACCAGGTGCCCACCGGATAACCTGGAAGTTACCTGGTGGGCCAAGTGGCAGCCTGGAACCTAAGTGACTAGGAGCCATAGACAGTGGTAAGTCAGACAGACCAGAGGGAGGTCAACCAGTGCTGCCTTCTTCCACTCTCCAACCACCTCGCCCCTTTGAGCCCGACTGCTTCTCTGTCAAAGTTGATTACCTCCCTTGCCAGGTCGTTGGGAGGACTAAGTGAGATACAGATATACAGTGCCTGGCTAAATGCCAATTTCCTTCCCTAAGAAAAGGAGAAACGAGTTTTTACCAGAAGTCCAGGAAAATGTTCAGACTTGGCGTAGGGTAGAACACAGGCTATACTTGCAAATTTTAAGACCTGTGTTTGCTCAATGTGGGTCATACTCCTCTGTCCCCTTCCTAATCTCAAAGTCTTCTAGAATCTGCTTGGGGACACTGGCAAGGGTCTCTGGATTCCGACCCCACCATGGCTTCTTGTGGGAGCATTAAGGAGGGGGAGCTGGTGTCCATTCCCTTTGCCCCATTGTCTGCCCTCTATAGGCACAGGGTGCAGTGAATAATTTATTGCTTCCCTCACTGGGAGGCAGACTCAGGGGCAAAGCTCCTAGTTCAGCTGAACTTAAGTCGTCTGGACTATGGAGTGAATTGTGTTTGTGTGTTTGTGTGTGTGTGTAGCAGTGGAAAGCAGGATAGGACAGGGACAGGATGACCTCTTACCAAGCAGCTCTCCTGTTTGGGGGCCAAATAGACCCCTGCACAGCCCTGGGAAGCAGGCTAGCTGAGCGAGGATCAAGTTATGGGCCTCTGATTTCAAAGAGATGGTGAAGGTACTGATAAGGGTGAGGTATTGGGCAGGGAAATTTGTAGAGGAGGCACTTAGCAGCTGGAGTCAGGGGAAGGCTTCATAGAGGAGGAAGGTGGCTGGGCCAGAGCTAGAGACAACTACTGGGGAGAGGGGTCATCAAGATTGTGCTATCTGCTCATTGTGAGACTGTGGGCAAGACACCTGACCGGCCAGGCCTCTTTCTCCTTCTGTGCAGTGAGCATAGCGATGCACACTTCTCAGGGTTTTTATGGGTGACTGAGGTCATGTTTGTAAAATGGCATGGAAGATACTCAGTGAAGGGATCTTCACTATGCACACGCACTAGCAGCAGGGGAGACGGGATGGTGTGGTCTGCAGAGAGGTAAGGGGCAGTCTGGGGTGGCGATGCTGGGTTTGGGGGTCAGTTAGGGGTGAGAAGAGGGATGAGTGACCAGGTGGGAGAGGAACTGCAGTGTTAGACCTAACTCAGGTTTCAGAGAGGAGGCATGGAATCACCATTCAGAGCCCCTCTGTGGCTACTTCTGCTTCTTCCATAAGACAAATCCAGGCCAATAGTTGTGATGTTCAAGTCTTTACCTGCAGCGGCCTCTGCTCACTACCATCTCCTAGCCCACCACATGTGGCCCATCACTGCAAGGTCCCTTTGCTGTGAGGTCCCTTCCATCAGAACTGTATCCCTGCCTCTGTTCAGCTCACCTCCCTATCCGTCTAGACCCACTTGGGTCATAAATTCCACCCAACAGAAACGGTCCTGGATTTTCCAACCTCTGGGCAGGCCGCCTCTGAATCTTTGACACTTAATAGTAATAGTAATGCCTACATCTGTAACATTTTATGGTTTGTAAAACACATCCAAATATTTAATACTATAACAATGATATTACTAATAGCAAATACTTTTTTAATACTTTTTCTGAGCCAGACAATGTACTAAGTATTTCACACTCTCAGTTCCATTAACTTTGGGAGATAGCTACTGTTATCCCCCAGAGCCTAGAGCTGAGAAAGGTGCATTGCCTGGCCCAGGGTCACATAGCTGGACAGTGAGGAGGAGGGAGTCAGGCCCATATCTGTTTGAATGGGAAATCTGCTTCTGTCTGTCCCTGAATGTCCAGTTTTAGGAGATGCCCTGTCTTCTCAGCTCTACCCAATGTCTTAAAAGCATTCTTTGCAAACAAAGAGCCAGGACCCATGCCTTCTCTCCAAGGCTGATGGCAGTGCTAGACTGAGTATGGGGCCCAGGAAACAACCCTTGGCCCCGGGCTCTGTGATGACTGGCTATGTGACCTGCCATGAGTCAGCCCCCTCTGTTGTCCTGTTTGCCCATTCTTTTGGTGAACAGAGCAGTGTCCTGGCTCTCCAGTTTTCTGCAGTGTCCTTTGTGACCCTGACAAGAGGAGGAGTTGGAGGAGACCACAGCACAGGGCCAGAGGATGTGGAGTGACAAATGGCTGTGATTTCTGGCCTGGCTGTTGTCTGGGCCAGTGAGTACTGTGGTCACCCGAAGGAGGATGGTGGCCTGGGCTGCAGGCAGCGTGGTCATTAGCTGTGATTGGCAGCCTGCTGGGCCAGGAAAGGTTGGCAGGCCTGGAGGCAGCTGGCCCAGCCACAGTGGGGTCATTGGTAGGGCAGCTAGGGCAGCCAGCTTCTCCCCACCTTGCCACCTCCAAGGCGGTGGCAGGTGTGCAACAGGCACCAGAGCTTTGTGGGCCACGGTGTGCCCTTGTGTTGTCCTGACTAGTGGGGAAATCAGTGAGGTCCTTCCAGGCCTGGAGCTATCTCTTTCTAGAAGCCTGTAGGACCCCTTTTTCCTCTGCTGATCCACAGCCTCTGTTCACTAACTGTGGTCTGAGGGTGGGAGTCGTGTAGAACTGCTTCCCTTGCCAGCCTGGCAGAACTAAACTCTGCAATGCCTCAACCCACCCCTCTTTCCAAGTGCCTAGCAGTGTGCCTGACACAAGGTAGCAGCTCCCAGGCCAGGAAAAGCAGTGCAAAATGCCTCTGGGACAAGTTGCTCAACT